CCTTTTAATGGCCTGTGGAAACGGTTTAGACCTGGAAAAATAAATGTAATGTGGCACCAAAATACAAAGGGAAAGCTGCAAAATTAAAGCCAGTAAATGTATAAATGTTTATAGAGTATAAATTATGCTAACTAGATAACTGGATCTCAGCATGCCTTGTAGAGTTATTTGCAATTTACATTTAATGTAGGATATTTTAATTCGTTTGATGTGATGCAGGATGGGACCCATGGAACCCTTTAAAAGACCCTCCATTTGGGCATTATGCTGGGTTGGATTAGGTTTGGCTGTGAATAACAGGAAAACTCTTAATAAAAGTGGCTCGAATAAGTTAGCGGTGTATTTCTTTCTTCAAGCAAAAGTGAGCAGTCCAGGCTGGAATAGCGGCTCTGCTGCACCAAGTCCCCGGGGCCCCACACTCCGTCCTGTCTTGCTGTTCCGTTTTCCTTAGCAGGCGCCTCCCGCCTCCTCCACGGTGGCAGCTCCAGCTGCAGCCTCCAGCCTGCATTCCAGCGTGCAGGCAGGAGGAGAAGCGTGGCAGGACTTCTCTTTGTTAGAGACACTTGCCTTCTGTCACATCCCGCTGGCCAGAATGTAGGCTCATGGTAGCCACAGGCAGGCTGGGAGATACAGTGTTCATTCTGGCCCTGGTCCTGCTATAACCCAGATGCTGGGGCTACAGACCAGCAATCTGTGGTAACATTCCAGAAAGAAGGTGGTGGCTTTAACTAGAGCAGGACCAGCGGCCAGGAGAGGGGAGATCGGGGTAGGAGATGTTACTAGAATTGTTTAAAAGATGGAATCCCCCAAACGGAGTGATGGTGGGGTAAGGGAACAGAAGGAATAGGCCGGGACGATTTAGCTCTTTTTCTGAGTTGGGGGAGATTCAGTAGAGACCGGGAGGTGAGAGGATTTGTGGAGGTGAGTATTGCTGGGGAATAACTGAGATCTGGGGGACCCTGGGATGGGGAAGGGTGGGTCGCACCTAGGGAGAGGGAAGGAGAAGCCCCAGAGCGGAGGCCAGGGGGACCTGCCTCTAACCTGCCCCTCCACCCTCCAGTGCCTCCCACCATCAGCGTGCCCAAAGGCAGGGCCATCGTGACCGTGCGCGAGGGCTCGCCTGCCGAGCTGCAGTGCGAGGTGCGGGGCAAGCCCCGGCCGCCCGTGCTCTGGTCCCGCGTGGACAAGGAGGCTGCTCTGCTGCCCTCCGGGCTGCCCGTGGAGGAGACCCCGGACGGGAAGCTGCGGCTGGAGCGCGTGAGCCGCGACATGAGTGGGACCTACCGCTGCCAGACGGCTCGCTACAATGGCTTCAACGTGCGCCCCCGCGAGGCCCAGGTGCAGCTGAACGTGCAGTGTGAGTCCCACTGTCCCACGGGTCCCTCCCGAGCTGTCCCTCCTGTTCTCGCCAGGCCTGTGTCCTCTTTACCCTTACACCCACCCAGTCCCACCAACGCCTCCACCTACTCTGCACCCCTAAACCCTCCACACCTTGACACATTTTTACAAACAGGGAAACCAAGTGACAGAGATTACGTCCCTAGAGGGAGTTCTCACAGCTCATCAGAGGCGGGGCGGGGCGGGGCTGGGATGTGAACCTAGGTCCTAGGCCATCCGGCTCCAGGGACCAGGCTCCAAATCCCGGCCTTGGGCTGCTCCTCATTGCATGGGGATGAGGTGCCATGGAGGCATGAACATAACCTCAGTGCGGGACGCGTGGCGGGAAGGAACGGCCAGGAGGCGTGGGCATCTGCAGGCCGGGGAGATGCGAGCGTGGTTATCGCATAAGTGTGTAGCGAACGTATGTCCGCCCGAGACCCTCCCAGGCTGCGGGCCCAGGAGTAGGGGCGAGTGCCTCGCCTTCCCCAGGGGCCGCAACCTGCGGCCCCACCTCGGCCACGCTGACCGC